TACTAAGATAGAGAAAGATCCAAGCCTAGATGCCCAAGCAGCCAGGCTCCAAAAGGAAATCAGTCATCTCCGTGAGAATTCAATTTCCTTCTCAGAACTTGAACGGCTCAGGAAAGAGCTGCAATTGTTGGAGCAGATGCAGCCAAACATCAGAGAGAAAGTAGTGGTAAAAGAAGTGGTCAAGCTGGAGAAGGATCCCGAGATGCTAAAAGCAGTCAGGACATTGCAAATGCAAATTGACGAAGACAGTTTCAAGAGGAAGGCAGTAGCAGATACGATAGAGAAACTGAAAAGCAGGATTGAAGAGTTTGAAAAGCTGATTGAAATGGCAGAACCAAAAGTCATTGTGAAAGAAGTAAAACAAGTGCAACAAGACCCAGAGCTTCTGAAGGAGTCTTCCAAGCTTCTAACGCTCATAGCTGAGGAAAAGAACAAGAATTCCTTGCTATCAAATGAATTGACAGAGCTGCAGAGCAAATACAGCACTGTAGAGAAACAAAAGCCTAGGGTGGAGGTCAAAGAAAGAGTCAATGAGATCTTTTGTCTTGACCCAGAAACAGAAGAGGAGATAGCACGTTTGAAGAGAGAACTCCAAGAAGTTTCAAGGAAAAGGACAAGGGTTGAACAGGAAGTAGAGAAAGCTTTGACTGAGCTGAAAGTTCTTAGGTCTCAAACACCAACAGTGGAGTTTAAAGAGGTCGTCCAAGAGGTGGTGAAGATGGAGAATAGCCCAGAGATTTTGAGAGAAATAGACAGGCTGAAGCAACAGCTGAATGACCTTGTGAATACAAATGGCAGGTCTCAAGAACAGTTGATCAGGCTACAGGGAGAAAGGGATGAATGGAAAAGAGAACGATCCAAGGTTGAAACCAAGTTAGTTAACAAGGAAGTTGTCCGATATGAGAATGACCCTCTATTAGAAAGAGAAGCCGAACGCCTCAGGCAAGAAGTACGTAATGCATCACAAAAGAGGAGAGCAACTGAAGATACTATCTATGACCTGCAAAACAAGTACATGCTTCTGGAGAGGAGAAAGCCAGAGGAAAAAGTTGTGGTCCAGGAGGTAGTTGTTACACAGAGAGATCCAAAGCTCAGGGATGAGCACAACAGGCTGAGTAGGAGTTTGGATGATGAAGTGAGCAACCGCCGACGCCTGGAACGTGAGGTCCAACAGCTTCGGACAGTAGTGGAGGAGAAAGAGAAAATGCTTAACTTCCAAGAAGACAGAAACAAAAGGCTGGCTTTGGAAAAGGAAATGCGGCAGATTACACTGAGGATAAAGGAAATAGAGGAAAGCCCACTCCCAGTTCAAGAAAAAATAATCACAGAGGAAGTGGTGAAGTTAGAGAAAGATCCAGTTCTCGAGCAGTCTAGTATTAACCTACGGCTTGATCTAGATAATGAGAAGGCTCAAGTGTTGAACCTGCAAAGAGAGTGCAAAAATCTTCAAGCCCAGATTGATCATCTGCAAAAAACAAAGTCCCAGGAAAAAACCATCTACAAGGAAGTAATCAGAGTAGAAAAGGATAGGGTGCTAGAAAATGAGCGAGCACGTCTGTGGGATCTGCTAAGCAGGGAGAGGGCTGCCCGGCAAAATGCAGAAGAAGATATCAGACATCTCAAGGAAAAGATTGAGAGAGCAGAAGGAATGAAGAGGACATGGTCAAGAGAAGAAGCTGATCTCCAGAAAACTCAAAATTTGATAAAGCAGGAAAAAGTCAATCTTGAGGATGAATTAAGGGAACTGGAAAGGCAGAAGCAGCAGAAAATCCTCTTCCTAAGAGAACAGTCCAAACTACTGAGCCAAAGGACAGAGAATGACAGACAAAAAAAGATGCAGCTTGGTCAAGAACTTTCTTGCCTTGAATCAGACATACTTACAGAGAAAGATCAGATTTATGAAAAAGAGCGGACTATCCGGGAACTCCAATCTAGAGTCAACAAGGAAGAACTGAGTCAGGAGACCCAGATGAGAGAGACAAACCTCTCCACTAAGATCTCTATTCTAGATCCAGATACAGGAAAGGATGTGTCGCCCTATGAGGCTTACAAGAGAGGCATGATAGACAGGAGCCAGTATATCCAGCTGCAAGAATTAGAATGTGATTGGGAGGAAATCACAAGCCTCGGACCCAAAGGGGATATTTCTGTCCTACTTGACAAGAAGAGTGGAAAACAGTATTCCATTGATGATGCCCTACGGTTTAGGAGGATTACAAAAGAAGAATACCAGCTCTATAGGGAAGGCAAGCTCCCCATCTCTGAGTTTGCTCTCTTAGTAGCAGGAGAAACTAAGCAAAATTCATCCCTCTCCATTGGTTCAATCATCTCCAAATCTCCAATTTCATCCCCCGTCTTTCAACAAAAGCAGAGTTTCTTCCCTCCTGGACCACAAGTGGCATTCTGTGATGATACCTTTCCCATTGCTGGAGTATATGATACCAACTCTGACAACAAGTATACCATTAAATCTGCACTTGGCAAGAAGTTAGTGGACCCAATGACAGCTCAAAAGCTTCTAGAGGCTCAAGCAGCAACTGGAGGCATTGTTGATCTTATTTCACGGGATCGCTACTCTGTCCACAAAGCTATTGATAGAGGGCTCATTGACAACACCTATGTGCAGAGGCTGCTGAATGCTCAGAAGGCATTCACAGGCATTGAAGATCCTGTCACCAAGAGAAGACTGTCTGTAGGAGAAGCAGTCCAGAAAGGATGGATGACCAAGGACAACGCCTTTCCCTATTTACTAGTCCAACACTTGACTGGAGGACTAATAGACCCCAAGAAAACTGGTCGTATCCCTGTGTCAGAAGCTGCCCAGATGGGCGTGCTTAGCAATGATTTGGCCATGATGCTGCAAGATGAATCCAATTATGAAAAGGATCTTGTTGATCCTATCACCAAAGAGAAGATTGATTACCAGGAAGCTATGGCTCGTTGCCAAAAAGATCCTTTAAGTGGGCTTCTTTTCCTCCAAGCCACCTCTGATGGATATCTGTCATATCAGTCGGCAAACCGCTCACCCACCTTGCCTCGGTTCAGACACTGAAAGAAACACTATAATCTTCAATTCCCTGAACCTCATTTGCTTTGGCAGTTATAGATGGCTGTAGGCTATTCTAGGTAGCTAACCTTACTTCACTATACCAAAGCAGCAATGCATCTTAAAGATGCATTTTGGAAGGTAAAAGGATGCTAATGCAGGAGCTGTACACTGTAAAGCAATAAATGGGGATTTTTAATATTGATATGCTCGGGAGACTGTATAATAATGTCAAGTCTTAAGGGATCTGTGTCAAGGTGCTCTGAGCTAGATTATTGTCATGCATGCAATAAAAAGTTAAAAGAATTAGAAGAGTCCATTAGTTATTTTTTAAAGTAGGGGAACTTCCCTTCATCCTATTATTTATAAAAATCAGGATCCTCACCATGAGTCAGTACTGAGTAAACCACAAAGAAGCTAAATTGAAAGTTCCTCTGATACACATGATAGAACTACAGAGATCCAAAAGAAACAGTTGCATCAGTTTATATGGAGACAAATGGTCAATGAGTGCACAGGATCAGAAATCTAAGGATGACAGGATTATAGGCAATAAAAGGTAGGCAAAATTTTACCAAGAAAGCAAAGTTGCTGTACAAAGTATCACAACTTTGGTAGACATGGTGGCTAGAGCCTAAGTGACAGCCAGATGCCTTGCAATGCCAGATTCTTTGCTTTACCCATAATTTTTTTAAAGAATGGCCAAAGTCTACATGAAATAATTCCATCACAGCCCTTCTTGTCAATAAGTATGTTTCCGAACCATCAAATTTATTATAACAAATTTTATTTTGTTTACCATGGATTAAAACATTTACAATTACATTAACAGTTTAATGATAAATATCACTTAAAGCACTTTTTAAAACAAATTTTTGATCAGACAGTAGTTTGGATCCTAAATTCTTCCATTGGCAGAAAGGCCTTTGATCCAGCAGAAACATATGCCAGCAAAAGAGAGAAGGAAAGAATTTTCACTGAATCCCCTTATACCCCCTAAGCTATTTTCCATTCTTCCCTGAAGGGTCCCACAACCCACAGGAACAGATTTCCAGGGGTACAAGGAGCTGCAACAAGAAAGGGAATAAATGAAAATTGCTTGTCCCTGCTTCCTTCTGTGGGAGCATCCCATGAGTAGAATTCACATCATGAGATCTCTGGACCCAAGCCAGTGCATTTGGCCAAGATACCAAATGATGTTCATCAAATATTTCTTCTTTTTGTATCTTGAACTAGCTAAAATATTCAGCTTCTCATGAAACACCAATAAAAATGTTCAAATTTTCATTGAACAAGAAATAAAAATGCTAATATTCTTGAAAAGTCCCCACTATTAAGATTAAGAACCCCCAATCTAAATGAATGTTCTTGAAGGCCCAGACATCAACTTTGTCCTGTCCTGTTTCCTAAGTGAAACAGTATGATGAAGATGAATGATACACAAAACAAATCTTATTTTTGAGTGGCACTGTGATATTTAGTTTGTCCACAGTTTTCTTGAGCATGGTTAGTTACCAACAATACTGTGAACCCTGATGAGACATTACCATATTAAAAAACAAAAGTTATGGTACCTTGCCTTTTACAGAGAACCAGGTTCTCTGTAATGCAATACATGAACCACAGCAAAACTCAAATAATACGTAATTGCAAGAGTCAGACTTAGTTATATATGTGCTCCATTCCATCTCCAAACAGATAGCAGACCTAAGACTGCAAGTGACATTTCCTCATACGCAAGTTTGTTGGCACATTTTAAGAACAAGTAAGAACAGGTATTATAAGAAGCTGTACCATTTAGAAGAGTTAACACCAGTGAGAAGTAAAGAGTTATCTAAACTAGGATTAATAGGTTTAATCCTCTGTAGACATTCCAATGCCAACTACAAGCTTTTCTCTTGCTCAAGATCCAGAGAACAATTTTCAAAGGAACACTGCTCAGAACATTTGCCTTTCATTGGTCATACCTCTCTACCACACATTGCTCTTTGTTATCCCGTGAAGACTGCCAGAAATACTGGTGAGTCAAAGCGGCTTTGGCTGAGATGCGCCTGTTGGGATCATACAGTAATAGTTGCTGTAATGAAGACGGACAAATATGAACAAATGCGTTATAACCAACCTTTTTTTAAAAATTGGGCATTATTCAAGTAATACTGAAAGCAATATAGCTGAACCCTCTGAATGTGCAACAATGAGAAAGGACAAGTGGGAAGGAGCGCGCTGTCCTGCTTGAGGGCTTCCCTGTAAACTGCTGGCTGGTCACGGTGTGGCCAGAATGCAAGACTAGATGCGCCTCTGGCTGATCTAGCAGGCTTCTTCTTATATTCTTATGAATACAAAACCTGTGATAGTCTTGAGACAATACAATTAATTAATTGGAATTAGAAATCCTGTCATATATAAGTTCCAAGGTTTCAGTATTAATCTGACATCTGATCATATTCACATTTACTGGAAAGATTTCAGTGGGAATTCCAAGGCAGTGTGCACAGAATTTCAGTCTTAGTATTAATCCAGGCAGGGTTTGGCCAGTCATTATTCGAAGATCCTATTTTTTTACACTCCCATATGTGCTTTTTCTGAAAATGGTAGTGCAGATGGTCTGTTATAATGGGAAATGATAGCTTTCTTCAACATGGTACCACCACCCCCGCCCAGATATTCTGAATGTCAGGGCCCATCAGTGCCGGTTAGCATGGGCAATAGTCAAGTATGCTAGGTGTTGTAGTTAAATACATATGGAGGCCACCAGGCTAAGGATGCCAGGAAATTGACAGAAATCACAAAAACACTTTTGGGGTGGCACTGGACCTCAGACTTATCTGTTGACTGTAACTTTTGGTTTATAACATCCTTGCCACAAGGATTTTAAAAAACAACTCCAAAACCTTTGTTCCAGCAAACTACTCACAACCAGTAAGTCTCGTCCATCTCGGTCCAAGTTTGGAATTACCACCTTCATGTCTTTTCTTGGCCATTTGGGGAAATTCGCTTTGTAGTCAGGAAGCTGAGTCACTCCTGGCCATGATGATTCAGTAGGTGTACCAAGAGTACGAAAAATCCGAAAGAGCTGGTCAATTTCAGAGTCTCCAGGAAACAGAGCTTTTCTGGACACCTGCAGCAACACAAAGGATGATTCACGTGCCTGCCTTTTTGTAACTATCATTTGCTTTCTGGTAACCTTAATATTTACTAAAGTTTCCATAGTGCAGGTGGACTACGTGAATCCTTCTAGATGCTTTGGCCTACCAATCCCATAAATCCTAGGCAACATAACAAATGATGAGGAATCATGGGGGCTATGGGTAGTTTATAAATTGCCCACCCCTGAACTAGATGGTCAGAGTCTGATCCAGTATAAACCAGCTTCATATATTCACATACCCACTTTATATTAATGAAAATTGCATTGAATCATGTTTTCTTTTCAGAAGAAGTTGAAATACTTTATAATCTAAAATAATAAAGAGAAAGGCAGAGAGAGAGACAGAGACTGATCTATCTGGTTTGATTCAGAATAAAATGTAAAATAATTGGGAAGGACCAAGAAAGGATAGTTCAGCTCTTTGTAGATTGTGCTTTTCTGAGAGCAATTAATTTGTGCTTATGCCATGATATGGTTGAAAATTTTGTCTAACTGAAGTTCAAGATAAATCTAATATATAAAAGATGCTAATATAGATCTGATGTTTGAGAGTATTGTCTTGAGCCTTTAGCTGAACTATTTTGCTCTACTGAAAGCATAGGGATAAAAGATAACAGATAGAGCCAAAAGAACACGGAAAAGTTATCATGCCCCTCATTCTGAAATCCCCTTCTCTCTCTTTTCTCCTCCCTGCCCAGCAGGCTGCTTGCAGAGGAACAGATCTCTTTTCTTGTCAGAGATCTGAAGTAGACTTTTAAAATTAGATCAAGAGCTACAGGTGGGTCAACTCTGCTCTCTATATAAGACTGCAACACACCAATGTGAAGTTTAAGATTCTTAGTTTATCTTGTTTTGAAGGAAGTAATTGGCCTGGCTTCTTTGTGTAGGACAAGGAGTGAGTGAAACTAAAGGAAGAACCTTTTCCATTTTATAATGTGAAAAGTCTCAAAATTCTTCATATCCTTTAATCTCGAGGAATACAGTCATGAGATTCACCCTCTTTCCTATTATACAGCAGCAACCTCTAGTGGCTGCTACCCCACTGCACCTCTCATTCCTACCAATTAAAAGCTAGTGAACACGTATAAGAGAGCCAGAAAGCAAAGAGAAAGAATCTGCTCCATGAAACTGGCCAGAGTCTAGTTCAGAAGATCAAGAGGAATGTACTAAGGTAAAATGCAAGCTAAACTGAGCATACAGACTTTGAACAATTCAATGCAAAATTTAAAAAATATAATTTATAACTATTTATGAAGTGAAATGCAATCAATAAAGTAGATGACTGCAGACCCATGCTCCCCTAAATTCATTAATGCCACTAAATGCCTCAGCAGAGGACATTCTTAACCTGACAAAGCCAAGGTAAGTTGGTACCAGGCAGGTCTCAGTGGGGAACTTCTTCAACCATTGAGGGAACACCTGAGAAGACCCTCCTCTTGTTGCCACCAACAAGCCACCCTCCAAGGTGGCTCAGAGGAAGGCCTAAAATAATGACCACATTTTCTGGGTAGAATTTGGTTGATAGAGGCACTGCCACGAGTAGTGCAGTCCCAAGCCTGAAAGACTTTATAGGATAAAACCAGCACCTTGAATTCGGCTTCTAAGTATACAGACAGCCAATGTGAGCAGGCTAGAATTGGTATTACATGTTCAGACCTTCTGATTTGTTTTTAATCCAAATATAAAGTATAAATACACAGATGGAACCCACTCCTACTTAAGCTTTTCATGAGAGAAGCCTTTCATTTCCAATGCCTAAAATAAAAATAAAGGGCCTCATTTTTTATTTTTAAAACAAAAAAAATTACCATTTCTGCAAATATGCAGCCAATGCTCCAGATATCTACAGCTGTTGAGTAGTATTTGCAACCCAATAAAATTTCAGGAGCCCGATACCACAAGGTTACAACCTAGAAGAATCACATCAAAAGCCTGAATTCAACTTATGTTTGTTATATATTTCAATGCCGTTTTATCCTTAATTAAAAACTTTTACAGGTAGCTGAAACCGCCAAAGTTCAAAGAATACTGAGAGGCTATACAACCTTTTATCAAAACAACGACGACTTTGGTGATGTCTACTGGAATGCAGCATGGCTTTTTATTGCAAGGCCAGAAAAGCAGATGTTGCTTTCTCTTCATTCATGCTCTCTTCTCCTCAACCAAGGATTTGAATAAACTAGAGGCCTGCTCCACAAAGCATGTGAGAGGGGAGGGTGGATAACGGGATCTGATATGGGAATAAGCTCAGAAGCAAGATGGCTGTATCCTCTTTTGCTGTCTCAGAATATTTACAAATTTAAATTCCAGGAGAAAAACCATATTAGTTTGCTATAATAAAAACTAGACTAGCACATCAAACCCCACCAAATTAGTGGGATATAAGTTTTTCATAAACAAGAGGCTATTTCTCCTCAAATAGGCATTTGCCTAGAAAAGTTCATATTCCAGTGACAGTGTTAATCTTTAGTCACGGGACACTAAACATATAGGCAGTGGTGCATCTCCTTTCCCCATACCACTGGAATCGCAAAACTCCACCTTAAAGATAACTATGAACCACAGTATTTCAGAGAGGGAGAGAGATTACCTCATGAGTGTAAGTACGGAGTGGAACACCAAAGGCTCTAGCTAGACCAAAATCAGCCAGTTTAATAGCTCCCATTTCATTTATAAGCAAGTTCTGAGGCTTTAGATCTCTGTGGATGACTCTGTGGGAATGACAGAAGCTCACTCCTTGTAGCAGTTGGTAAAGATAGCTCTAGGGAGGAAGGTTGGAAGAGACCAAACATGCAATAACTATGGAAAGTCCACAATTCCCCATAGCTAAGGAGTATGTATCCACATTTCCCTTGCTGGCTACATAAATGGGTTCCATCCATGTATGATGTTTGCTCAGCAGCTAAGGGCATGGTCAAATACGCACTCCATGTTCCTTGTTAGGTGTTATTAGGTTGGACAACTTTTTTTTACACAAGGCTCCCTTGTTTTTAACAACTGCATGATGGGAAGAACTATAACAGGCTAAGCTTTGCCTGCATTAGCCTTGTCTCTTAGAGCTAAGCAGGGATGGAAATGGGAAAGGGCTGTCCCCAGCACAGAAAAGTGCACACACATGTAATTCGTATATGCTCTGTCTATTTGAGTGAGTAAATGGAATAATTCATTCAAGGGTAACCTCCTTCACTGCAGGAAAATGTGGAGGTTTATAAGGATTGCACTATGAAGGACTAAATACATAGTCTGGAAGTTATTCTCTGCATTAACTGAAGAAGCTGCTGTGCCCAGAAGAGTATTTTATCCATTCAAGCTGGTCCTCCAGCTGCAGCTCTATCTGGGGAAGATGCACCTTGTCTCAGTTACGCATGAACTGGTGACATCCAGGATAGACTACTGTACTGCACTGTATATATGGCTGCCTTTGAAGATGGCTCAGAAAATTCAGCTGGTGCAGAATGAGGCCACCCAAGTATCAGGAAGGATGAGGCAGTCAAATCATAAATCACCTTTATAGCAGCAGCTACATGAGTAACTAGTGTGTTTCTGGGTCCAGTTTAAATGCTTAGTTTGACCTTTGAAGTCTTTAGTGGTTTGGGACCAAATTACTTGAAGGGCCAATGTCAGCAAGATCAGCCTGCACACACTTTAAGGACAGCAACAGAGGTCCTTTTCACTTGCCTCACTTGGAAGGCAGATAGGGGGCCAAGTACATGAAAGCAGTGGTCCCACACCTTTGCCATCGAGTGTTCACCAGGTCCCTCCCTGCAAGGTTTTCAGAAGGTTTTGAAACCTGCTTGTTTACTGTTCTGTTCCTCCCAAGTATGCATATACACTTTTATGATGTTTTCTAGATAGTTGTTTTAATGAAATTGTATCAGTCTATTTTATTGTAAGCTACCCTGGCAAGTTTCCTGCCCTGAAAGGCAGGCTAGAAATGTTTTAAAGAAAGAAATGTGTTTGTTCGTGTAAATGTGTTGAGAAACCCATGCAGAGAAAAGCACCTTATGGAGAGGTGCACCCAGAGCTTTCCTTGGAAGCTCAGGTGACAGCGGTGGCGAGGAGCGCCTTCCTTCAGCTTCGGCTGATTAATCAGCTGCGCCCCTACCTGGAGTACAACTGCCTGGCGATGGTGACACACGCGCTGGTGACTTCCCGCCTAGACTTCTGTAACGCGCTTTACGTGGGGCTTCCCCTGAAGACAGTCCAAACACTTCAATTGGTGCAAAATAGAGCTGCTAGGTTGCTGACGGGGACGGGGCGTTATGCTCACATGACTCCAGTCCTCCGTCAGCTTCACTGGCTTCCCATTGAAGCCCGGGCCCAATTCAAGGTGTTGATTATGACCTATAAAGCCCTAAACGGCTTGGGTCCTGGCTACCTGAACGAGCGCTTACGTCCGTATATGCCCGACCGCCCTTTGAGATCTGCGGGAGAGTCCCTTCTCCGGGAACCCTCCACGAAAGAAATTAGGAGAGTAAGTACTCGGAGGAGGGCTTTCTCTGCGGTGGCACCCAACCTATGGAATTCACTCCCCAAAGAGGTCCGCCTGGCACCGTCGTTACTGGTTTTTCGGCGCCAGGTAAAGACCTTTTTATTTAAACATCATTTGAATTGTTAAAACATATGATCTGGCCAGGGCAACTTCTTCTTCCTTCTCTTTCTCCGCCTATATTTTTATTTACTTAAGTTATACTGATAATTTTAATCTTATATTTGTAAACCAATGTATTTTTTGTACTTTGTATTTAATGGTAATTTATTATGTGCTATTGTATTTCATTGTATTTTATCGTGTTGTAAGCCGCCCCGAGGTTTCGGCAAGGGGCGGCATAGAAATGTTATAATAATAATAATAATAATAATAATAATAATAATAATTTGAAAAAGGAGAAGTAGCAGGAGGCATAAAGGTTAAGTATCTCATTCTCTACATCCTCACTTCCAAATTGTCCTCTCTCAAAGCAACTTTTCCGATAAAAGCAAAGGAAAAAATAGTATTGAGATTGTTGGCTTGTAGTTAGCCCTTAGGTACAAAACAAAAGATTTTGATGTCAATTGGTTTGCAATAATTCAGGTTCTAAAGAAGCAGCTAAGCAAGCAGTTTGAATTCTTTCTAGCAGATAACAGATGATGGACAAAGGAATTTGTTTTTGATTATAGGTAGGGGTATGTGCATGCATGTGTGTAACTCTGTACCTTGACCAAACTTAGAGGCAGCTCCCCGGTATGGGATGAATCCATATACTTTTTAAGGTCTTGATTCAGATATTCAAAGACCAGATAAAGTTTCTTCTGACTGTGTACCACATCAAGAAGCCTGGAATGAAAATTTCAAAATTGAGTGTCTGGATTTGAAATAATATTATCAGTGTGGCATAAGGTTGCTCCATAACCACACCCCTTTTTAATGCAACAGCATCATTGTGGCTCGAATCCTCACTCAGAAATGTAAACACTGGGTGACCTCTAGCCAGTGACTCTCTCTCTCAGCCCAGCCTACCTGACTGGCCTGTTCTGAAGAAAAATGGGAAACAGGAATCTTGTAGGCAACCCTCATCTCCTTGAAAAAGGATAAACTAAAGCAGTAAAAATTAATCAAACCACTGAATAAAGGCTTGGTTAACACAATTGCATACTCCTCTGGTAGCCGGCCTTCTCCTTATTTTTAATTTCAATTTATTTATTATTGCTTTTATATACTGCTCAACAGCCATACATGGCTCCTAGAACAATTTTCCAAAACAAAACAAAACAAAAGCAACATTAACTCCCATGAAGCCTTAATCTAAACACTGGCAGCTGTAACACTACTTAAGTTTAATACTAATTAAATTACTTTAAACCTGCATTATGCATATTGCACCCAAGCTCTCATGCAGCAGTTTGTTTCATTTTCACTTTCTTCCCCATTCTCTCATGCGCTGTTCTTTGTAAATTTGTAGTATAATATCTGCAAAGAACTGCACGGGTTCAACAAGAGAGAGTGAATATGGCATTACCATTTAAAGTAGGTACGCTAGCATGTTACTTGGAACAGTAACAAAATTTAAGCTAACAGCTACTAACTGGTAAATTTACTCACCAGTATGCATGATACTTTGCCTTTTAAAACAGCAAACTGGCACACCTACTTGCAGGTGCATAAAGTAGGAAACGTATCTTGAGCAATTGGCACAGACGCTGCAAGAAAGCTGTTCCCAGTTTACTGGTAATTGCCAGGGTAGTGCAGCAGTTCGAGTGCTGGACTAGGGACCTGGAAGATCTAGATTCTGATCCCCACTCAGCCAAAGCTCACGGGGTGACTTTGGGGCAGTTGCTGACACTCAACCTAACCTACCTCACAGAGTTGTTGTGAGGATGAGATTGCAAATGAGAAGAGGAGGACTGCATTCTCTGAAGGAAAAAAGGTGAGATACAAATAGGATAGAATTAAATAAATAACACCCAGAAGTGAAGTCCTAACAAGGGATGACATTTCACAATCCAGCCTACTGGTCCCTATGATGATTAACAATGGCCCCAAGCAAGCATTGCTGTTGCCATACACTTGCAAGTGACAGCTCAACTCTTTTATGAGAGGAATCTGAAGCAGTTCACCTACAATTTGCTTTCCTCAAGGTTTTTGTTGGAGAAGTCCCAGGAACAAGTTTACAAGATTGCATCCTGAATCTAAAAAGACACCTTTTGTTCTATCTTTGTATGACTGACTCTAAAGCTGTTGTAGATGAGAGCACCTCAGATTTATACACCTATAGCCTAACACAGTTAGCTAATCAAATGAGATTAGAGCAGAGAAATAATAGTAATACAAACAAGTTGAACAGAATTATAAACAATGAGAGGGAGAACATTTATCCCTCTTTTTTCCTACATGCCCTCCCGCCCCTTAAGATCTGCAGCAGAGGCCCTGCTCCAGAAACCCTCCTTGAAGGAGGTTAGTAGAGAACATACTCAGAGGAGAGCCTTCTCTGCAGTGGCGCCCCGACTATGGAATGCGCTCCCCAGAGAGGCCCACCTGGCGCCAACATTATATGCTTTTCGGCCCCAGGTCAAGACCTTTTTATTTTCCTGTCATTTCAATCCATAAATATTTTAACTATGTTTTATGCTCAGTCATGGATTATTATGGGTTTATATGCATATATTGGGTGCTTTATTTGTAAGCCATCCAGAGGCATGCAACGTAATTGGACAGGATAAAAATACCCAAATAAATAAATCCTCATGAGAAAATATGTGCCCCCCCCCCGCAGCTGACCCTATGATAGATACGGCATAGCTGCGACACTAACAAAGACTTCTGAATCAAATTAACCGGGTAAGTACAATTTCACACCAATGAGACAACAACCAACATGAACATAACCAAAGAACCATCCCTGAGAAATCGGGCAGCTTTTATTGAGGAAAAAGGAGAATTAGATCATATTCAGTCAGCTGACCAAAAGCATAGGATTCAGGGACAACAGAACAGGACCTCCAAATTATTTGGACCCTGCTTTGCTCCTCTGACCTATAATAAATTAACAGTTGCAATTGCTGAGAAATTTCCAAGTTAAAATTCTTCCATCGAGTATAGCTAGCTGAGGGTGCTGGTATAAGTAGCTGTTTGTAAAAATGTTTGTTATTTTTGTTCAAGAGACATGGTGTACAGTAAAATTAGAGCTTAATAATTATTTTACTAATGATCTAATAGCTGTTGCTATTAAGCCTTCTACTTGTTAAGACTTGTTATAACCTTCCTGTTCCCACATTAAACCAAACTAGACAGGAATGCAGGGATTTAGAAAATTACAAGACAGACTTAGAATTCAATTTCCTTCAGCTGATATAGTTAGAAAAGTTAAGAATTTTTTCCAACCTCACTATGTTTGGATGTTTCAGTTCTTTCAACAGAGAGATTTCTCTGATTGCTGTACTGGGGACTCCTTCTGTTTCCCTGTGGAGAAAAAAAAATCTGATAGTAAGCAATTCAGTTTTTCCTAAGGAATGCATTACTGGGCGGACTGATCAGTGATTAGTTCCATTACTGTTTATTTCTTTTTATCTATCATTTCTATGGAAAGTTTGTTTGTTTGTTTATTTGGAACACTTTTATGCCACCCCATTCGCAAAAGCCTTTATAGGGTTTATCATCACAGAAATAAAACACATATGTGAAATATCAGACATAATAAACAGTAAACTCATTCCACTTACCTCTTTCCTCTCACTCTTGCTCTCAACATGAACTATTAAATCAATAAAATTAAGAAATTAAGTTCTTCCACCAATCAGTCCAGCTGCTTGGTGGGTTTAAGGCTATGTAAGGACTTTGCAGTAGTGGTACCTGAGTAGCTGATAAGATGTTTTTGGCATGTGGGGAGCTGTTATGGATGTTGTTACAGGTACTGGAGGACTGGACGGGAAAACAAAGCTGGCAAATTAAGCAATTTTACAATTTCTTGGAAAAGCATATAATAAACCTCTCATGTTCAGTCATTCATGATAATTACATTGGCTCAGGCAACTACCTTACAGTCACAAGTAGAAACCATTTTGAGGTTTGTGAAAAGACTAGTTGATTGGCACTTAATCTTACCATATGAATGGCACTCAGAGACTAGGTTCACACAGCACAGCCACCCACTACGAGTTGTTACCTTGGTTAGTGTGTTGTGCATGTCCAAACCAATCCCTGCCGGATGGCTTGTTTGAAAGCAATAAGCCACCCTGACAAGTCATACCTTATTCCATGGGTTGTTACACCCAGGATAGGTACTGGGGATCAGCTAGCAAGCTTCTTGGAAAGAGCAGCAAACCCCCCTTGCTGCTCTTGCCAAGCTTGCCTGGACAGCCATCAAAGCCAGCTGCCCCACATATGCCAAATCACCACTTGGGGAGTGGCTGGCACTGCCTTGCTGCCCTCTATCTCACAACCATGAGCCATTTTTGGTTTGCTGCAGCTTTCTGCATTTTGTCCTATTTTTTCCTAAGATTACAATGCCACAGTGGCAACCCCTTCACAGTGCCCAACCAGCAACTTGGTGGTACTATCACATTTTTTTAGTGTACTGCTAAGTCCCTTCTCTTTCTTGCTTTCTTTTGCCAGATGTGCGTAACTACAGAGGTTAACATTTGCATGAATGCAGAATTTGGGACCTCTGCTGGGGCAATGGCCTGGTAGGTACCTGCTGCCAAAGTACATTAGGTGCTACCCTAGATATTGCCTCAGAGAGTCTCCAAATAGGCTTTTTACCATCTGCTTTCTCTGGACAGATTTCTCTTTATATCTCTTTTGGGGATAGATCCTTTATTAGTTTCCCCTGACAGTCCACCTGCTGGTGCACATTTTACACTTTTTCCTGAGACTCTAGGTCCTTGGAAAAGTGCACCCCTCCCTTTTTCCCTTGGGGAAAAAAGAGTTTTGTGGTTTGAGTGCTAGGCTGAGACACAGGAAATCCAGGTTCAAGTCCTCATTCAGCCAGGAAGTTCACTGGGTATCTTTGAGCTAATCACTGACTCTCAGCCTAACCTGTATTGCAGGGCTGTTGTGAGGATTAAATGGAGAAGGGGAGGAGAATTGTGTAAGTTGTCTTGATTCCTTGCAGGAAAAAGGTGGGGCTATGAAACTAATAAAAATCAACTAAGCATGCAAACATCATTTAAGGTGGGGGGCAGGATTGACAGGGAATGGCTGGATTTTGTCAGTAAATTTTGCTTTCTATATGAGGTGATGCAAAGGCTGTACATTCATTATTCATCCCACTGTTCTGCACCTGAACATTCAGGACATAGTGTGAAAGCACATAATGCGTCAAATTTACTGAAGATAAGTGAGTCCAGGTCTGATCAATGCCTAGGTAAGAGAATATACTATGCAGAACACCTTGAGTTTTATAGGAGAGTCGATATAAATGGATTGAGACCATATGGTTAATCCTTTCCCTGACAGTGTTTTCCTGATTAAATTCCTTCCCCCACAACCAAGCTGCAACTCGCCCTGATAGGAAAAATATGCAAACACAGGTAGCTACCATTCACAAAAAGGCAAGAGATATATTCATCCTTCTCTGTTAACATGTCTAGCCTTGCTCTAAATCAGCTATTAATCTCCACTGCTAATGTGCTTGCAGTTCTAGTGTTAAGGATACTTTACATCAAGGACCGGCAGTGTGTGT